TTTTCTCGTTCTTCTTGTTTCTTTTGCTGTTCTTGTATTGTTGTCATCAAATCTGCTAAGCTGTAGTTTGATTTGCCACCTCTTGTTTCCATTTTCTTTTTTTTTATTTATTTTCTATCTAGCTTCTGACACCAATTTGTTACGTCTCTGTGTTCGTTTGTTAATATTCCGTAGAAATGCTTTCCGAGAAACTTCAGCGATACAAGTCCTTTCTTAAATAAAACTAGTTTATTCTTTCTCATTTCAATTTTGCAATACACTTAATTTCCACAGTCACTTTAACTTAAACACACGCTATAATTCACAACGATTCACGCGCTTTACTTACGGTGCCTACCGCCCGCTTGACTCAACTATCCGTTTCCATATCTTCAATCTCTCTATCTGCGATTCCAATTCCGATTCATTCTCTCGCTTTATTTGCCGCGCTTATATACAATAAAAGCGCACATCTAGATTGTACTCGCCTTTTCGTGAATCTTCTAGATACTCATCACGTGTTACCAGAATCACGTGACTTCCGCTGTCGTAACAATATAGAAGAAATAAACTAATTCGTTCTCTTTATGTGGACTAGATTTGACATTATTTTTAGAAATTAATCCAAAACAAAAAACATCCGCCTAGCGATAGAATAAACGTTACAACAATAGCAACTGATTTCAAATAAGCCTTATTGGCATTACTGAGATACCACAGTTTCTCTTATAGTTTTGTAAATGTACCCGAAAGAGAAAAAATACACAGAATAAGTGAATTATGGCAACATTTTGAGCTTTTCAAATGAAGTTGTCCTTGGCAGATCTAACGAAACGTTGTCTTGTGGATCGGAACAAATGAGGGTTTGGAATTTTAATGGCGTCTACTTGTGACCTTGGCTATATTGCATTTACTATTATCATAGCCCCCTGGTGATGTTTTTGACCTTTAATTTTTGGGGTCTCACTCCCATTATTGTTTCGAATGCAAAGAAAAAAACAAAACAAACAAAAAACGAGAATCAGTGTTAAAAACAAAACAAGTCTTCAACAGACGTCTCAATTGGATGAGCGGTAAGTACATGAACGTACAACGCTAAAATCTGTGAAACGAAAGAAACTGAAATGCTCAAACATATAGCACATTTTTTCCTAAAAATTTTTTTGCATAAAAACACTTTGAAAACATATATTTTTTTAATAAAAATAAACATAATTTCCATAACTATATCTGCATTTTTACTTCAAATTACAAAAATTATTTCACGGTTTTGTACAGACTTTGATTTTTAAAGATGTCTATAGATGTCACGGTAATCGCGAGAATTCGACAATTATTTTCCATACAACTGATACTAGGCTTGTGGAGCGGTGATTTTCTTGACAGTGTTTGGTTGGCTGGCAGAAAGGGACTGTGATTGTAACGGGTGAGAGGGATAGATAGATGTTTCTGGTGTCTTTAAGCCTAAAGTTTGACAGTATATAACATGACCATTTTCCACTATTAGTATTAGTGTTTTACTCAGTTTACTTGTACAAAGTTTGTTCAGAATTACTTCGCTCTTTTATGACGTATTGTGTGCATATCTTATTTAACAAATTCGGTGCCATATAACTTCACTGATATATTTATAAAAAGAACGAATAATTTTCCTTGGTTATTCGTGTTGGAACAGTGGAATTTGGAAACAAGCCGGTCACAGTGTTTGTGTGTTCTGCACTTTCATGGTAGGAATATCAAGATTTGTGTTATTATTGTTTCATATAATAACAGGTAATATACGAAAGTGTTAAGGCTAAAATCATGAATAGCTTACTTTTAACATTTATTTATGAGCATTTTTGTTTCTTATCGAAAAATCAAGTGGAAATTAAGCTTAGGCCTGTTCTAAATCTAATTATGACTTGGTGTTGATAGTTTAGAATTAACAGTAAATCATTTTTTTATTGAAAAAAATGTATTGTAACTACTTTATTTATTCAAGGAAAATTTTAGGTGTATTTAGACTTATTTATATTATAAATAGTTTATGGTTTTAATGTGATCTGAACGTGAAGCATGATTTGAGTTTTGACGTGTAGCTTTTAGTTTTAGATTGGTGAGTGTAATTTGTAGAGATAATTAAGAAATAGAAAGCTAGAACCTGCTGATTAAGCCATTTAATAGCGTTTCGAGCGTATAACCTATTTATCTAGGTTCTAATGTTTCAGTTTAGTATATGTATTATATGTTATATCTCATTTCTGTAGTGTTCAAATGACGTAGCAACCGTGTTTAACAGCTGAAAATATTGGCATATATTTATGACATATACAGATTTATATATTATCAAAGCATAACACTGTGATTTGACCTATATGACCAACTGAATCTTGATCAGAATTTATATGTATGTATAAACAAGTCCTGTGATTTGTCCTATATCAGAACTGGATATAATTTTTACGTTTTCAGTTGAATAATGCATTTTTATGACATAGTATTTAGGTATTTGATTATATTTACAAAATAATATGGCACATTTTGTCTGAAAAAATCAATTTCAAATCAGTATGAACTCATAAGCAAATAGAACATTTGATGTGGATTAAATTCTAAAATAGAACCTAAGTTTAAAAGCAGTAAGCAAGTTTTAGTAAATGCATATATGAATGACACTGTTTATAGTTTGTAGCATGTAACTGTGACCTAAATTAGGCCAAGCAGCAGTCCACCCACTCATTTTGGTCATTAGGAAATACTTTTAATAATTACGAAATATGTACAGTGTCTGATCAGTTTAGTATTGTCGAGTTCTTTGGCCGTATTATACGTATCAGTAACGCAAAAGTTAATATCTTCATTGCGAATGTCAAAGTAAATATCACCATAGTAACCGTAATTCTGTCGTGAAATATCCCGAGCAGTAAATATACTGTTTAATTCCAGTGTTACATACTAGTATAGAAGTTACTTCTGATCAAGCTTTATGGAATGTTTACTGGAAATTTTATTTTCAAAAGCAATTATTGCGATGTTTAAATTTATTTTGCCTTTATAGTATAATTTTTTTAGTTTCACTAGACAATATTTTAAGACATTAATAAACAGATACTGATAAACATGAGTTGAAACTGTCAAGTTTGTAATATCTACAGCAACTTATTTAATTAGTTTCCAGGTAATCGGATATTTAACGGGAAGTTTGACATGTAAAATTGTCTGTGTTAGGCTTAGCGAAAATAGGATATTTTGAAAAATATACTTTCGTTATAAATGGAAGGAACACTGAAAACCCCGTTTTAATGACACGACTTATAACAGTGGTTAGTTATTGGAGCGAATAGAACCTTTGCTTGACAGTTATTCACACATGTAATTCTTCATTTTCAGATCTTAGCGATAGGTCAGAGACCTGAAATGAATGAAAAGGTGGACTATCAAGAGGGTTTTATCACCAAGGATCACTGTCCTTTGACTGTACCAGTTCGTTTACAGCCCCTTACAGATACTTATACAGTCGATCCCAAACCATTTGCAAGGTAAATAATTGTGTTTTATTGTACATATATTAAGTTTGTTTTTGTAGTATGTTTTATAAGTAACTTGATCGAGGACTTACTAAACTTAGGATATGTAGACTGTAATATTTAAAGTAACACAATCACTAGTAACGTACTTGCATGTGGGTGTGTCATTTAAAGATACTGATCTATAATGAGGTTTCTAGATATATTAAACTGCGTTAATTTTCAATTTTTATTAATGAGCTTTTCCCTTGAATTTCAAATAAGTAAACGCTGTGACAATTGTCTTCATTCTGTGATTTGTTCATTTGTAAGAAAGGCAGGAAACAACGATTTGTTTAAACTGATTTAATACATGTTTGAAATCATTGAGTTAGCGACGGCTGATCCAGGATTCTATTGAGGGAGGGGGGCCGTACTTGGTGTGGTTTGGGGCATGCTTTCTTGGAAAACATTTTAAACCATACTATCAAACTTATTAAAAAAATTATGAATATAACAGGGTGTGGAAGCGTATTTTACAACCCCCCCTTTTTTTTTACTTATTCGGGAAAAATGAGTGATTACTGTATTGCCATCCTAGATCAACCTCAGATGAGGCATAATTAAGTACGTTTTATTGGGAAAACAAGGAAGGGAATGGACAGTTTTAGTAATACAAAAATTCTGGATTCGTTGGATGAAAACTTATTAGTTTATACGACGCTTCAACTAATATATTAATATTGTAATCCCCCCCAAAAAAGAGAGATTTTTGTATTACTCATTACCTGGGTCCTCGACTGTTACATATTCAAGAAATGTCTGCTGCGGGGTCTATATCAACCAGTAACTGGAATGATGTTATTGTATCTAAAAATGGTGGGATTTCTTGTATTACTCATAACCTAAGTCCTCGACTGTTACATATTCAAGAAATGTCTGCTGCTGGGGTCTATATCAACCAGTAACTGGAATGATGTTATTGTACCTAAAAATGGTGGGATTTCTCGTATTACTCATAACCTAAGTCCTCGACTGTTACATATTCAAGAAATGTCTGCTGCGGGGTCTATATCAACCAGTAACTGGAATGATGTTATTGTACCTAAAAATGGTGGGATTTCTTGTATTACTCATAACCTAAGTCCTCGACTGTTACGTATTTAAGAAATGTCTGCTGTGGGCTCTATATGAACCAGTAACTGGAATGATGTTATTGTACCTAAAAAATGGTGGGATTTCTCGTATTACTCATAACCTAAGTCCTCGACTGTTACCTTTCAAGAAAGGTCTATTGCTGGGTATATAACCAGTACGAGTGGACGGAGACTAGCTGAAGTACAGTAACTAGAATGATGGTATCAGAAATATAAGCTTTACTGCTTCTTACAAAACCGGATATGCTGGAGGTGCTGCTTGCCGACATTGAACTAGATTATAATAGAGAAATTGTTATTGTTTATTTATTCGTCTTTGTTTTAAGAAAACCTTTTAAGCAAGTGCGGAATAGTTCACATTAAAATAAGAAATACTAATCGTCTGAAATTTTCTCTTTGGACAAATGTGTTAAGGTTTTAAGGAAATTCTTAAAAGGCAAATATTATAAATTCATATACAGATCACGTGATTTCTTGCTATGTTAACTGTTCCTTAGTTTATCTCGTTATTGTTTTTATTATTAGATAAATTTCAGACCAGGGTATATTAATTGCTCATACTCACTATAAAACAAAATGTAATCAACACGAAAAGGTCGTATACTGAGCAAAAAAAAAAAACAAACAAATAAAAATATTAATATTTTTCTCTTGAAGTTTTATTTTGTTAATAGTGAAGCGTAAACACTTTAATATATTAAATCTTCATCTCACGCTAAATTTTTTAGCATTATTGTACTCACTGCGGACGCCATTAGGCTTAGTGTATAATGCCTACAATGTTGCACGTTTTTCACATGACGAACTAAGTCAGTGAGCATGAATGCCTGCTTACACATATGTAGACAGCTGTAAAAAGTATGACTTATCACCTATACATTCAAGGGCCTTTCCCTTCTATGGACATGAGGTGCTTGTTGAGCCTTTTAGATAAAACCCTATTATCTGAGTCAACCCAAAGATGGCTTCGTTAAGAATCTTGATACTAGGCGGTAGGTGAGAATATTGAGGCTTAATAATATCTTGTAAGTGAAAGTCGTAGTGTTCATCTATCATAAAATTATTTCACCTTTAATACGAACATAAAGTTTGTTTGTACTTTATCAACCTGTAGTATGAATTAGTCATTTACACGAGGCTGTTTGGTATTTCTCTTTACGTCTGTGGGGTCGACACAGTTTAACCTGTCAGTTAACTTCTGTCTGGTTTTTCTTTTGTAGGAGTGGTTGCCACGTCACATACCATAGTGAAGGAATGGAATATTCTGGTAATTAGACGTTAGGTGGGAAAAAAAAAAGTTCAAATGTCGCGACAAAGGGATGCTTTTCAAGCTAAACGTCATATTCTTGTGTCAGTCTAACTGCTTTTGTACTGAACAGTTCGACTTCAGTCTTGTGGGTGTGATGTGAATGTGTTCTAAGAAACACACGGGAACAGTTCACACCTGTGTGAGGAAGGTTCCTAAATCAATGAAGAATTTCAACAGTACCTGTGGATGCGATACAACCAACCATTAATAAAGAGGTATAATGCAGCTATGACTCACGTTAACCCGATCTTCACTGTAACTCTGCAAACACTGCTATGTCTCTTTGGATAAGCTGTTTTTTGTTCGACAGCTTATATCGTAATCGTATGTGTGTGTGATTATACTTGGTACAGATATGGAATATGTTGTCTTAATCACTTTTAAACAACTGTATACAGATCGCAGGTTTCCATTTAATTAAGTTAACATTTTACAAGTTCAGTGATTTGAAAGTCGCATGACAGTTTCAGGAACAACACGTATTAATACATAACTAATATAAATATAGTACCTGTTACTTACACATTAATATAAAGAGTTTTCTTTGGACTCTACACTGATATAAACAAGAGTTTTCTTTTCACTCTTCCCGCCAATGTTCCTGATTTCGTGCCGACGTTTCGGGCTCCATGTGTTGTTTAGTTAGTCGTTTTTGTAAAGTAGACAATGTGAAATTGACAACATTAAAGCGGGATGTACAGTAGCTTTCTTGTTTGTTGGTGGTGTGATGGGCTTTAGGAGACCTAGTTTAGTGTGTGTGTGTGTTTTCCTACAGCATAGCCACATCGGGGTATCTATTTTGTCCACCGAGGGGAATCGAACCCCTGACTTTAGCGTTGTAAATCCGAAGACTGTTCCACCGGGGGGACACCAAGTTTAGTCGTTGAGTAACGTCTCCTTTTTAAAGGAGGTTGGCCCTATTGTTTATTTAAGGAGCTGATTTTGCTCTAAAAGAGATAAAACAATTACACATAGAATAATATAAACCAAATAAGGCCAAGTCTGCGCAGTCCTTCATTTACACTTTAATACAAATTAAGATAAGCTAAAACAAAGCCACTATATAGCCTGGAGTAGCTAGTTTTTAACAGTGTAGTGTCAGTGACTCATGTTGCTAGGTGGCCTGCCTAAGGACGATTGTAGGCTATCCAAGCTGAGAATTCGATTGTCACGTGATATGTTGGTAACAAAGGAGTCTGTATGCAAAAGCACCCTGGAGCAAGGACGTGACCCGGCTGCTGTAAGGTCATTCTTTGGAATGCCTGTGGAACACCTGCCCCGTTTGCTTGTTTTTTGTTTGTTTTTTTTGGTCTTGGCAGAATTTTAGCACGTGCCAACACCTAGCGCCATCGGTATATGTTTCTGATTAGTGTATCCGGCTACAGTGGACAAAACAAAATGCGACCGGTATGACTAAGCTTTATGCGATTTGAAAATAAAAGAACAAAAAGTTCTCGAAATACATTTTTTTTTTAATTCAGAGTAGAATGTTTGTTCATGAATATAATGCGAAATGCTAGCTTAGTTTGTATGTTTTTCCGGTTGAGATTGGCTCGTGATAAATGATGGTGGTGCCAACTTGGGGCGACATGGGTGATGAAATTCTGCATGTGACGAGCCAATATGATGCAATGTGGGAAAAATAAGACTTAAGATTGGCACCAGTGCACGCTGGCTTGCCACAGAAACAAACTGGAATCAAGACTGCTATTTGTAAACTCTGAAACGGAAGAACATTGCAAAGAAACAAGTGATTCAAATTAGATGATAATAATATAGAATATGGTGGGTTAACGAATCATAAACGTGTGTGATTTATATACTTTTCGATTATAAGTTGTTTTTACTAAATAAATTCGTCTGATGAGAACACCACTAGCTAGTTTGGTTTGTGTATATATCGGCAGTCGGGTGCATCCAGAAGTTATATAGGCCGTCATTGTATTTGCATGGATAATACAGTTCTAAATGTTTTATTGTTTTTAAAAGAAGTTGATAAATATGATTTAAGTTTTTATGCAACTTTCAGTAGTACTATTGGTACAAAGAATACTTCAAACTTATATTTTTAGGTATAATGCAGTCCCCGGTGGGACAACGGTATTATTACGGACTTAAAACGCCAAAATCCAGGATTCGATTCCCTGCAGTGGACACAGCAGATAGCCCAACGTGGCTTTGCTCTAAACCAACATAACAGGTATATCAGTATAGGGTTGAGGTAGTGGGTGTCGTCATAGTGCTTGGGTCAAGGTCGCGGCCAGGAATTTTGGGACCAAGGACAAGTCCTTTTCTCATTCCAGCGAGAATACATTGTAAACATCCCTCTGATTATTATGAAAAACTTACTTGTCACCCTCGAAGAAAACATACATTAGTCTTAATTACAGTACAGTAAATCGTTTTGAATCGTCCATTTACTAATTATTGGAATATACACATTCGTCATATGTCTTTTTCCATATAGCTTAAGTAAAAGAAACAAAAATAAGTCATGTAAGGATACATGCAGAGTTACAGACACCCACTGAAATACCTACATTAATGCCAGTACCAAGCTATTCTAA